CTTAAATTACCTTTTTTTAATTTATAGATAAGTATATAAATTTTAAGCTTTACTCATTTAGCTGTTGATGGATTATCAACTTTAACTATGTAAATGAAATGCATAATGATAAAATACACAAATATATATTCATTATTTTTGGCTAAATTTTTTAACGTTTTATGCGAACCTAACAAATTTAGAATGCAAACTATTGATTCAGAACTTTCCTTACAGAGGTACATTATAAGTATGTATCTAACACAGAAAAATAGATTGTTTTATTTTGATTTAACGCCACTTACTTCAATATTTAAACCTCTTAAATGAACACATAAAAGTTTTGACCACAGAATATTAGAAAAATGCATGTAATATACTTAATTGCTATGTTATGGTTGAAGGGCATTGTTTTTTTTTCCTGATAGATATAAAGGAAATAAAAAGTAATGAAAAAAACGTTGTTTCTGTTATCACAGTGAGTTACTATACAGCTTGAATTAACTTATTCTTACCGGATATCAATTAAACACCGTAGTAAGATCTTTGAATGCTGTTCTTATCGGTACTTATATTGATTTAGATGTTGTTTGATGCTGTCTGTCACTTTTTTTTTCATTTCTTTTTTTTTCACAGAAACCAGACCGTTAGTTTTTTCGTTTGAATTGTTTCACATTTTGTCATGTCATGGCTTTTTATAACTGAATATACGGTATGGGTTTTTTATTGTTGAATGTCGTGCGTTGGCCTTTAGCTGCTGAAATACGCTTCATTTGGACTCTGTTGGATAGTTGTCTCATTGGCATCATACCACATCTCCTTAATTTATATTTACCAAAAAATTCAAGTAACTTTTTTTTCTTATGGACTTACCGATCGGACAAGGATGTCCTTCCTTGCTCTTTCTTTTTAATGACGTTTAAACTTTATAGATATTAATGTGTTATTTCACTTAAGAAATAAATGTCTTAATATTTAATTGCCCATCTATTACAAGACAATTTGGTATACCACAGATGTATACACATACTGTTAATGACTTCCAATTAATTCACAGGACAAAAACAATGACAAACATGTAATACTTTTAATATTTTCATCTTCGCTGAAAACAAAAGTGCAAATTCCCACAAATCGGCTTGGCAAATAAGATTCTAAAGGTAATTACAAATCTTTCTTTTGTTTGTTTCAATCCGGAACATATCCAACCAGAGACAGTTCTGGGTTCTTATTTTACAGCTTTTATTTCCAACCTCTGGAACTAAAATGAAAGCGGTTTAAAATTCCTATATGAAAATTGACTTATAAGAAAAGTCTTCAATCAAATGGCGAAGAACGTGGCAAATGTTTTTAATGCATGTATATTAAATGATATTTGTAGATAAGTACCGATTTATTTGCATCATGTGACTTTCATGATACTAAGGTCACTCTTTTATGCCTTGAATAGGAAAAGGTCACAATCAACTAATTAATATCAGCCCCATAGTCACAAAGAATGGTCTGTCAAGTATCTACAATCAGTTACATTGGCTTCTAATCTTTAAACTTCTTGCATTAAAGATAAATGCAAACACTGCCAAAATTGACATGAAATTGGGGAATTCATAACACCATAAGATACTTTGACACACAATTTTGATGCGAACAAATGTCTTTCTTTAGTTGTTGCTCATATTTGATTTCCCAAAGACAATATTAATAATAGTTTTGGCATGATCATTGGCATAGTGACATCGCAAATGACAATCTGCTTGAAAATGGCAAAAAAATCCATTACACCACTTTATTTATAATGCAATTTTGAAAGGACCAGGGGTGGAACCAGGGGGCAGGCAGGCAACCCTTATGACCGAAAAATCATGTTTTTGTACATTTTTCGTATTTTGACTGCCACACCCCTTAATTTTCGGTGTACCCTTCCCCAATCTTAATTGAAAGTTTTGGACCAACTAGTGAAGATCCAAACACCACTTTTATTTGTGTATACTCTAATTTGCTTTAAAATTCAAACGGTGGGTTTGTACTTACATGAGCAACACGACGGGTGCCACATATGGAGCAGGATATCCTTGTCCTTCCGGAGCACCTGAGATCACCCCCGGTTTTTGGTGGGGTTCGTGTTGCTCAGTCTTTAGTTTTATATGTTGTGTTTTGTGTACTGCTGTTTGTATTTTGGTCGTTTTTCGTTTTATGCCATGGCAGTGTCAGTTTGTTTTCGACTTATGAGTTTGAATATCCCGTTGATATGTTTCGCCTCTCTTGTTTTCACTTTGAGTGTACCTGACGAGGTTCAGTACGGAAAACACTTGTCGTATAATACATAACCTCATTAATGTCATTTTTAAGTCAACAACATATTTTACATTCTAGTCATTGTAAATGTCAATACGTTCATTCTAGAAATATTGGAGATAAACATCATTGTAAAAAATAAATATAAACATGCAAAAAATATGACCATTTGTACGTTAATGTCAACATTACCAATTACTTCACAAAATTTGTTGTTGCAGGAGTTTTTGTTAACAATTATTTCTGTCATCAATTAGCACGTCGTTATGTTTATACTCCAGTATGAACATGCAAAGATGTTTCATACCGTTTATTCTTCTGACTTTTTTTTTAAATTGTTTTTATTTTGCCAGCAATATTACACAATACTGGTCCGACATGAATCTTTTTTTCCCCATTTATATAACATTCAAACTGTATCACATATGTAACATCTCTCTCGGGAGTCTTTCAGTCTGAAATTTAAAAAAAAATAAAAACCGGACTACCGGACTACTTTTTCATCGAAATTCAATAGAGAAACTTTTTTTTTCTTTTTTTTTATGTAACACAAATATTTGAGAAGTTTTTAAATTAGATTTCCATGCTTTATATTACCACACTGTTTATAAGTGTACCAATAGCTATCATTATATAAGTATTGTTACATCTATTATCATTTCTCGAGGTAATTATTATTTTTTTCATGATGTTGAGTCTGAGTGTTGAGTAATCAGTTTGTATGACTGTTGCATTTATCTTTAAAACATGTATAATCTAATAGAAAAGAAGGGGGGTGAGGTGTATCAATTCGTGATGCAAATTATCCACGCGCACTTGGGCGACTTGGCATGACCCAAAGCAAAGGAACAGCGCTCTTAATTCATTAGAAAGTCACAGAGACGTCTTCTACATGGAACAAAATTTCAGAACTCGATGCAAATTCAAGACGGCACTCCATTTCGCCAATGGACAGAATCGCGACCATACTCCATCTATATATCTTTAATCGTTCGGTCTATACCAACATGGTTTCAACCTTTAGATATAACAGTTTAAATCTTATTGTACATTTTGTTTTATTAGTATGCCTTCAAGAAATCTGTTGTATTTTCTTTCCCTTTACAACATTTCAATAGTTTAATTGGGCATATTTTATCATTTAATCGTTATATTTAAACAAAAGTTATACATTTAAAATGTAGGGTTACGTTAATTTTTTTTAATTATTTGTTAAATATACCGATGTGTCAAAAATACTGGCATCTATTTTCACTGAACAAAATATCACTGAATCAGTATACAAACATTATTTGAATTGCCGATTCCCTTCCGATTTCATAGCGTTTTATATTACTTCCCATTTCGTAGTATGTAGGCAAAAGGTATATATAATTGGGGCACGAAACGAGTTTTCGTGTAAATAATTCAAAATTGAAGTTTTTAGCCTTGTAAATATGAACTAAAATAGTAGCATACAATCAGTTGTAGTTCTCGAAGGCCATATTGCATAGCTGGTAAATCACTTGACATTTTTTAAAACATTTCCCTATGTACAGGAGTCCACCTTTCTCCTGATAGTTTTTGCATGTATATTTCATTTTGGCAATTGTGTTAACATGTGATCAAGGAAACATGCGATGCATTCGTCTATATATTATACATATTGTGTGTTCATTGTGACCTGCTTCCTTGTATCTATAAATGGTTTATCACATTTTTAAATCCAAAGTAGATTACTATGCTACAAGTTTGAATTTTTTAAACAATTAAGTGTTTTTCTTCCCGATACGTTACTTATATAAACATTTGTTTACTTTCCTTTCCATTTTTTAATTTGTTTATGTATTTCTATAATGAAAATATTAAAATAAAAAATGGTAACGAATAGTTAAAGTTCAGATTCCTGAAAAAGGCAAATCCGTAAAAAAAACATTTGAAAAATCATTCTCGTAATCATATTCTACTACTACAATTACTACTAATTCTATAGGTTTGAACAACAACAACACCAACAACAACAACAACACCACCAACAACAACAATACCACCAACAAGAACAATACCACCAACAACAATACCACCAACAACAACAACACCACCACCACCAACAACAACAATACCACCAACAACAACAACACCACTAACAACAACAACAGCACCGACAACAACAACAACAACTACTACTACTACTACTACTACTACTACTATTGCTGCTGTTGCTACGTCTACTACAGCCACTTCTACTAAAGTTGCTTTCTCTACTACTATACTACAACAACAACTACTACTGCTGCTGCTGATTTTAATATTTTTATGTTTTTACTATCGCACATGTAGTTTAAGAAAATCCTATCCAGTTGTATCGATAGTATGATTCTGTAAATCCAATATAGTAAAAAGAGGTAAGACAATCAAGCAGCTTTATTTCTGACATATATAAATGACACATTATGACCTCACAACCTATAAAAATTTCATCGGTCATAATCATATCATAATTCTTAGAAACAACGTACTTCACATTCTGACCAAACGTAAATGTAATACAAATGCGTTCATTCTAGAAGTGAAGAAGGTAAATAGAAAATATATAAACACATAAATAATGTGATCATATTTCCTTTGATGACACCTTAACCAATTATTACCTGACTAATTGTTCCGACCAATCACCTACGCTTGTCACAAAAACTACATATATAAACCATCTCGACTGGCGTTGGAAACAGTCATTTATGCTTAAATTGTTTCCAGTTTAATTTCTCAAAATGAGATTTAATTTTGTCATAGTGTTTTTAATCATTGGTGCGGTGGATGCTTACATAAACATGGCACTATATAGACAGCAGATTTTAGATCACCATAATCAAGTTCGCCGGATGGAACCTGCTTCTAACATGCAAAAGCTGGTAAGAGATTTAAATATGCTGTATTTTTTACATATAAAAAGATGTGTTGTTTTTTTAATTAATTTTGACAAATTAGTTGAAATTGAATTATAAATTCATTACAATTGAGTTGTTTGAGATTTTATTTTCCATACATCAGTATATGGACTGTTCTTGTCGTTATTTATTTTGTACTATATATATGTAGAAACCTGCTCAAAGGCTTCAAAATATCATTTCACATACATGTATCTGATCTTCAACTCTATAATTCAACGTTTTTTCTTGTATCAATAAATGGTTTATCTTACCTTTTTATCCAAAGTAGATCATTATGCCACGAGTTTGAATTTTTGAATCAATTCTGTAGAGCGGAATGAAAAGTGTCATTTTGCTTGAATGTAAAATGGATATAATTGTTTCCCGATTTTCGATTAGTTTAAGAAAATAAAATCATGCATTTTGAAAAAAAATTGATTTGTGTTTGAAATTTGAAATACAGATAAAAAATCTATATGCTAAGATTCACAAATTTATTACGACATAGTCAAAACTTCAAGAAAATTGTCGTGGTCAAAACGGTGAAAATACGGCGACTGTTCTCTATAAAATTCAGTTTACTGTTTTAAGAGCCGCTGAAAAAAATAATCAAATATACTTCTTCTTCCCTTTTTTCTCATTTTACAAATATTTAAAAATGACTGTCACTGGAAAATTTTAAGTACCTTTCGGACTACAAAATGTCATTCGTTCTAAATAATTAGTCTCACCTACGCTCGGATAAAACTTAGCTCACATAATGTTCATACGCTATAACCTCCGTCAAGATTATGATATATAGTCATGCACTAGTTTTTTTTATTTGATTGAGTTTAAAAACACTGTCATATTTGACAAATTTGTGAAACGAGTTATAGGGAAATTGCATTCTTGTATTTTGAATAATGATTATCAAACAGTAGGTGTTTATTTCTATTTTTATTCTATTTTATAGACATGGAACACACAGCTTGAGAACGAAGCCACCATGTGGGCAAGTCAATGTATGTTTGATCACCAACAACTTGGTCGTGGGGAGAATTTGGCAATGCACACTGCTCCATGGGACTATCAAAGACTTATTTCAGTTGGAATTCAAATGTGGGCTGATGAAAAGAGACAATATACATATGGTAGTTCTGGATTTTCCCAAGCGACAGGGCATTATACACAGGTACACACTATAATGAAAATTCTTATTACATTCTATCATGTTTCAGATTCGTCTTGCTGGTAAGAGGATAACGGTTATTTAAAAAATTAAAAAAGGAAAATCTACAAAAATGAAGGAACGAGTTTGCCAGATCTGCGCGTCTCGAACTGAAAGGAATATAACCAAGAGTTGTGCAGGTTCTGAAAAATTGAATTTTCCCAACCTTACAATTGGGAAGACCGATGACGCGAGAACAATAGAAAAGAAACTCTTCTTATGAAAAAGTCGACAAGGTCAACAGTGATTAAAAGTTATTTCTAAATAGTAATCGTACATTTTAAATAAAGTATTTGTTAACCTGTGTTAGAAATAAACATGCAAATACACGATGTTTTATTTTCATTATTTATCGAGATAATTGCATTCGAAGCTTGTTAAGCTGAAATTTAAAAAAATGTGAATCTTTACTGCATATTGATTAAAAAAATTAAAAATCATACAAAATCTAAAGCTCTCTTAAGTTACCAATTTTTCCACATAGTCCCAGCATGTTACAACTTCCCAAAATATACCTTATTTCCTCAGCTAGATTTTTTTGTGAATATAACGATTTAAAAGTTGTGTCAGTGCAGGTTTAAAAATAATATTTTTAAAAAGTACTCATTAAAAGATTTTGACTAGTTTTTTTAAAAATAAGTCGTCTCGATTTTTGAACATGTAAGTGTGGTCTTCTCTGTATATTCTCTTTCAATGTTTACATCGTGATAAGGTCCGCTAGAATTTGCGTAGTAACTTAGATCAACTTAATTTCAAAAGCGTTAATCTTCGCTGCATATCAATCGACTTTTTTGGTATTTTTTTTCTGAACTTCTCTGATCTACCTACATAGATGCACGGATAATTGGCATGTTCAAGAGAGTATAAGAGGTACAAATACAATAGAAAAATAAACTGAAGTCGGAAGTCGAGAAATTTATTTGCATAGCAAGATTTCAAATTTTCATGGTGTATGTATCTTATAATTATTAGATGGTATGGGCTGATACTACTCAGGTCGGCTGTGGAATGACAAGATGTCCGAGTTTATCAATGGGAGGAGGTACACCTATGCAGAATGCCTGGTTCTTGGTTTGCTTTTATAATCCAGCGTAAGTTTATTAACCTAGTTTGTGTTAATTACTTTTTGCAGAAAATAAACATGACTTAAAAAAACAAGGTTAATCATATGATCATTTTCAAACTTTATAAGTTCTATATTTAGTTGGAAAATAAAAGTGCCAAATTTTAGTACGTGTGATTTATGACTGTTTTAAGTGCCGTGGAAAAAAAACGTTGATGAAATAAGAACATGTAAAAAACATTTATTTATGTTTTGTTAGACCAAATTGAGTTAATACATTTGAGTTGATACAGATGATATTTGTCCAGTAAAATATTTGTATATGTATAATGTGAAATAAATGTTTTACATATTCTGATATATATGCAATTCCATTTCAGTGGTAACTATATTGGACAATTGCCATTCAAACAAGGCCAATCGTGTTCCCTATGTGGTAGGGGACAGTATTGTGATAGAGGTCTTTGTTCTAGTACGTATTTATGTTTTTAATTTGAAATACTATTAAGCTAATAATAAAAAACCACAATATGTTGTTTCGGAGTTTAATCAAAGTTTTCTGTTAATATTGTGTAGGCTGTTGATTTATTTTTTTTTGCATATATCTATAAATATATACATATGTGGGTGGTTTTTTTTGCCTGTAATTCCTCGACTTATAATTTTTAAAGCCTTAATTTATTTCCTTTTATTATTCTCTATACATATTCTACGCTTTTCTGACAACTGCCAAGATATCTAAAAGTGATCTTCTTTTCCAGGTACTCCATCTTCAGGAGCTTACCCCCAAGGAGGCGGTGCTCCAGGTGGTCATGGTGCTGGTGGTCACGGTGGTGGAGGTCATGGTACTGGTGGCCACGGTGGTCAAGGTGCACCAAGCGGTCATGGTGCTGGTGGTCAGGGTGGTGGAGGTCATGGTACTGGTGGCCACGGTGGTCAAGGTGGTCAAGGTGCACCAAGCGGTCATGGTGCTGGTGGTCAGGGTGGTGGAGGTCATGGTACTGGTGGCCACGGTGGTCAAGGTGCTGGTGGTCACGGTGGTGGAGGTCATGGTACTGGTGGTCAAGGTGCACCAAGCGGCCATGGTGCTGGTGGTCACGGTGCTGGAGGTCATGGTACTGGTGGTCACGGCGGTCAAGGTGCACCAACCGGTCATGGTGCTGGTGGTCATGGTGCCCCTGGTGGTCAAGGTGCACCAAGCGGTCATGGTGCTGGTGGTCACGGTGCCCCTGGGGGCCATGGTGCTGGTGGTCACGGTGCCCCTGGTGGTCAAGGTGGTCAAGGTGCACCAAGTGGACAGTCTCCTGTTATTGGCGGCGGACCTGGTATGCCAAAAATAGAATTTGTTGGTGGATTTCCTGTTATATCCATTGGTGGAAACCCAGCTGCTGGTGGAAACTCTCCTGCTGGTGGACATTCTCCTGCTGGTGGACATTCCCCTGCTGGTGGACATTCTCCTGCTGGTGGACACTCTCCTGCTGGTGGACATTCTCCTGCTGGTGGACATTCTCCTGCTAGTGGAAATTCTCCTGGTGGTAGCTCACTCGTTAGTAAAACACCAGGTGGTACAATAAACATAATGGACTTCATGGGTGGCTTTTCACAAAAACCTAACGCAGGAGCATCGTGTAGAGACAGACAGCCTTGGTGTGCAACATGGGCTGAGTTATGTCTAGATCCAACACATTCTAGAAAAATGAACTCACAGTGTCCTCGAACATGTGGAAAATGTCCTCCCACTACTGGAGGTTTGTATATTTTCTCCCCAATAATCTTTTGGTAAATACATTTAAAATATATCTGTATATAAAAAACCCATTCGTTACAACTTATCTTCCTCAGGGTAATATATCTATATATATAATTATATACATCAATAAAATAAGACCAATTTTGTTTAATGAAATATGTTTTTAGATTACAAAAACAATTCTGCACCCATGTTACTCATCTGCTATGATTTTTTTAACAACTATATATTTCCGTATTTGGTAGATATAACAGTTTTTCATCAGCTGAACATAAATCATGACTTTGATTATCAGCATGATGAAGCTTAAGGAACATTTTCTTATAGATATAGTTGAGGACGACATCTCCGATGATTCAAAAACAAATATAGACTGCTGATGTTCGTTTTTTCAACATTTAACCAATATAGACTGCTGTTGTTCGTTTTTTCAACATTTAACCAATATAAACTCTTAGAATTATGTGCAAAACAGTGTAGCCGAGACCATTGATTGGCGCGCTAAAATATCCCATTGACTGGGTCAGATTAGGTGAACGTTCGTCTGTAACGCCCACAACTCACGACGTATTTATTATAGACATTTAAACTGCGGGGTCACCAAAGGGTCTCAACGCCTAAATAAAATAATTCGAAAAACTAATCAGGAATTACCTTTGTGTTTTGATTTATATTGAATACTTAAACGTTCTTTACTTGTTTTTTGTTATGTTTTGATAATGAATTTTTATGATATCGGACGTTCTTTCAGCAAAAAGGGATTTAACTGGCTTTAAAAGTTACAATGGATGTGTTGATTATTATCTTTTTTTCGGACGTCAAAGCGATTTAACAATTGCGGTTGTCTAATTATGTCATCTTTTAACTTTTATCTGGTCAAAATTTTATTTTAGAACGAATGCATGATCAACTTTAAAAAGTGTGCAAACACAAAACATATAGACAAAATATACTTCTTTCCTGTCTGTTTCGTACTTGCAAGTTCTTAGACAGTAAAAAGGCTATTTGGATCAACCCTTGTGAAATTTGCATTTACGTTTTTGAATAGGTACAGTCAAGTTTAGCGATTGATAATTCATTGATAACATTCTGGCGTATCACAAACAAACAACTTGTAACGTCTCATTTCATTGGCCGAAAGATTTAAATACAACAACAATTGTAGTGTGCACGTGAATTGACACAGGTGACCGACAATGGAATGTACTACGTTACTACGAACGTAAAAAAAACAATGATTTTTGGTCGAAATAATTAAATAAGTATTTTGTGAATTTCAAATAGTGGGGTCGAAATATGATACTAATAATTTGTGTTAAGTAATATTCTTTATGCATGCAGCACTTGTACCGCACTATGAAAAATATAAGGATAAAATAAAATACATGTGCCGCTTTTATACGGATGAATGTATGAACCACTTTAATTTCTTTCATATTGACGCTAGGTTATTATCCTGACAATGTCGTAGTTACTTATAATAAGGATCTCATAATACTGATCCATTTCAAATTTATGATGGGTTGCACATTCCTCATTTATTGTTTTCATGCTATAAAACGAAAATAAAGTAGCTAAGCGTTTGGCCATTCAGAAATGACGTGTCATAAACGAGCAAACTGTCCCCGAAAGATCGTATCATGTGTGCACGTGAATATAGATGTGCTATGCAATGTACTATCATGGTCACCACGAAATTCAAATGAATTCAGTGAAGGCATGTTGGTGTAAAAAGGTTTGAAATGTTTCATCGGCGAAGATTTTATTTTTGCATGTGTGGAACTAAAAAATAAATAAATACTTGTGAGAAATGTCGTAGTTTATAAGGAACTATATAAATGTACTGTTTTCGATTTTAATTAGTTGAAAATTTATCCTTTAATTTCATACCGTAAGAATAGAGCTTTGCATAACATTGTTGAACTATCCGCCAAAGTAACGTGTGGCATGCGTGCGTATTAAAATGAAATACAAAATCATACATGTATGATAAACTTATAAACGAAATATTAAGAAATTAAGGATGACTACTGTAAAAGTATGTACAAAAATGGAGTCACCTTTTATCAATACATTTAGTGAATAACCACACTGTTTAAAACTGATTGTTTTCTATGCAACTATTTAAATATTTACAATATATAATTTTCAACCGAGGATAGCAAAACAGTTAATTATAAATTAAGAAAGTATATCGCTGGAGTTTATAAAGTACATTTCCTTCCACTGTGCCATGGTTTACCATCTCCATTTTTTCTCTAAACAAAGCATGGCTGGTTACATGTTCTGAATTTACTTCGAATTTCGGGATTTTTTTTTCAAAATTCAAGTAAACTAAATCAGAAAAAAAATCACACTATCCTAAAACTTATGAAAGAATATGAATAATGAACATGACAGTTTGTAACACAAACCCATTTACTATAAAAATTGAGCAATATCTTTAGTATGTAATTTGATTATTTTTGTAGTTAAGTACGGTTTCATTTCAAGTACAACGTTAATTCATCAAGTCCATTGAATAAAAGATAAGGCAGGGTGAGCAACTTGACAAAAAAAAAAAAGGCAGGATGACGATTTATGTAAAAAAAATCAGGATAAACTAATAAATATAGTCAGGACTTATAACAGACTGAAAAATAGAAAGACAGGACAGAGATAACAACTAAAAAAAATGCAGAACAAAATGTTTCATTCAAGTCCCCCACCCCCAATCAAAATAAAATGGTAGCTCCCTTAATCCAGAACCAATTGAGAGGAGACAGTTAATTACATATTTCGACGTGACTGTTAAGATTAAAGTTTAAAATTTTACATGCACATGTATAAAAGCTAGAACTGCCATGGGATAATCAAGAACACAATCATGTACGTGAATACGACGATGGAAGTTGTTAATGACCTTGACCGGCTACGTGAATACTGATCAGTCCATTCAGCTTTATAGTACGCGTGTTCTATTTTCGCAGGTGTGAGGTCGAAGGTTTGAATTGACCTATGAAAACGATCGTTCCTCAACGAGTTAATCTAATAAAGTTTGTTTGACTGAATATGTTGCACGACCTTTCGCTAAGCTTGGCCGCAGTTCAGTATACAATGTATAGTTTGATGATCTTTTCTGCTAACTACTATACTTGTGAAAAACCCTTGGCAACAGAAACATATTCAGCTTTTTTTTTAATCGACCCAATTTACATAGTAGTGGACGACTTCGTACATTTTATGATCGCAAATAAAATATGTATATAATATACTGTGCACTGTAGTTCGTATATATACTGAGACCCTTTGGCAACCCCACAGTTTAAATGTTTATAATAAATACGTCGTGAGTTGTGGGCGTTACAGACGAACGTTCACCTAATCTGACCCAGTCAATGGGATATTTTAGCGCGCCAATCAATGGTCTCGGCTACACTGTTTTGCACATGATTCTAAGACTTAAGAAGAGGTTGTCATTTTTCAGCTTCTTACATTACTCTTACTGGTGATTACTTCGATAATTTATCAAGTTTATCCTTCCAACTTTCATTATAAATAACCCACATGGTCGGGTTGGCATTTTTATTTCAAAGACCCCATCGGCATAGGATACTGTAGTATTTATGGACTGCATGGCTTGTTTTGTTTTTGTGTTCTTTAGTTTACTTTTCGTACATAAGTTGGTTTAGTGTTTTTTCCTTGTTTGATCTAGTCTTTTTCGTATAATAATTTAACCATAATCAACCGTTTTTTTCTGCTGTTATTATCACTAACAAGGAGCTCTATCTACTTAATACAGTGTTAAAATAATGATAAGAATTAATTGAAAAATGTCTCAAAAAGCACATATACATATATATATATATATATCATTTTTCTTCCAGGACCACCATGCATCGATGCTGTTGAAGGTTGTATGTTTTGGAAGCAAGTAGGAATGTGCCATGTACCGTTTTACCAAGCGTATATTAAGGAAACTTGTGCTTTTACGTGCAACATGTGCTGAATTAAACTGAAAGAATTCCGAAATATAAACAGTATCTCTACAAATGTCCCATGAAAGACTAGAATGAATCCAAGTCGTGCAACGTGTTGGTGTTGAGTCGGGACCATTTTGCTGGCAAAACTGATCTCATGTTAATGAATTCCTCGAGTGGCCGAGGAAAATGACTATGTTTGTTGTGATTTGTATTATATTTTTGTACAATAGATGATATTTTCCAAATAAATTTTATATTCGTAATTAATAAATTTTTTATTTGCAAGGCAGTCTGGTGTGTAAACATACGTTTCCAAGTCAGAAACCTTAGCAGCGATTGCCCTTTGCCTCTGAAATCACCTAAGAGACATTTATAAATAGTATGCAACAAATGTATATACTAAACATACACAATTTACAGACATAGTGTTCAACAACTGTTTCTAATTGATTTAACTGAAATAGATGAAATGATGACAAAATGTACGGACATTGTGTTCCACAAATGTCCTTTATCCTAAAAGACACAATTTACAGACATTGTGTCCTACCAATGTATCTACTTGATACAAACCAATCATATACTAATAAGACACAATTTACAGACATTGTGTCCTACCAATGTATCTACTTGATACAAACCAATCATATACTAAAAAGACAAAATTTACAGACATTGTGTCCAACCAATGTATTTACTTAATACGAACAGTCTAAGTGAACATCTGGGGTAGTAGAATTGGTATCGTCTAATTGGATTACTACCACTGGGTCGATGCCTCTGTTGGTGGAGTGTTAGTTCCCGAGGTATCAACGGCCTAGAAGTTCAGTACTTTGGTACTGGAATGAAAATACGGATATTTTTGTTTGAAATTTGCTGTTGTTAAACTTAGATATAAATATCATTTGAAAATAAGAAGTGCATTGTCCTTCATGTATAGCTCTGATTCCTTGACCGGATTTTGTAATACTTCTGGTCCTTTTTTATTATATCAGTTCCTAAATTATATTTCTATAAGCTCTGATTCCTTGACCGGATTTTGTAATATTTCTGGCCCTTTTTGATTATATCAGTTCCTAAATTATGTTTCTATTAGCTCTGATTCCTTGACCGGATTTTGTAATGCATCTGGGCCTTTTTGATTATATCAGTTCCTAAATTATGTTTCTATTATAGCTCTGATTCCTTGACCGGATTTTGTAATACTTCTGGCCCTTTTTGATTATATCAGTTCCTAAATTATGTTTCTATTATAGCTCTGATTCCTTGACCGGATTTTGTAATACATCTGGGCCTTTTTGATTATATCAATTCCTAAATTATGTTTCTATTATCTCTGATTCCTTGACTGGATTTTTTAATACATCTGGGTCTTTTTTATTATATCAGTTCCTAAATAATGTTTCTATTAGGTTTTGTATTTCAAATATTTTGGCCTCACTGAAGAGACACATCTGGAAATAAGTTTCAATAACTTTTGTGGGTCATCCTAGGGTATTAGGCTGCAGTGATAATCTAGTCTATATAATTTACTTATTAAAATCTAGTCTAATATCAAAATATCATGACAATTTCCATAATTTTATTTTTTGAATTATAATTTTTAGTAAACATGTAAATCATTTTAGTGTCTGTAACTATTCAAGTCTAATGCTATATCTGTATGTCAGTTTAATTTATTGTGTCTGTCAAAATCCATGCCTTTATCTTGAATAACTATATATATCTACACTAATGGTCGAAATGCGCATCTTGTGCAGTAAAATGTGTACCGTTTAATGAGATTATCAATGACTGTCCTTTATAGTTTATAAAATACGTTCCAAAGCCAGGGACCTTTACATGGGCTGATCTTTAGAGTCAATACATTCGCAAGACAGACCTTACCAGTGGTTGACCTTTATAGTTAATTTGGTATTTTTGTGAGATCTTTGACAGTCTCTAGACCCGGATCGATTTAGATCTTGAACTATTGTTTATTTTACTTCAAGCTTCATAGGTAAAGTATATTGTTGAAAACTGTGCGTTGCTTTTTACGGGTGTTGGTTGTTCTTTTCATGTGTTTTGCAGTTATATAATTATAAAGGTCTCATTTTCAAACATTTTTTTGGAAGTCCCTGATAAAAGCAAATCCCCAAAAAGTCTTCAAATGTAGCAAATGAAGACGGTATGATTCACTTTGATTTCTTATCCATACATGTAAAGTAAGGGTCTACAGTACGCCTTGATTATATTTCAAAACTGAAGCGTCTTCAAAAGAATACAGCATCAGGTCACCGTCATCGAAAAAAGGAAGCACAATTTGTATAGATTTAAATGCCTATTTAAAAAAATACCGAAATTTACTGATATAGTTGATAAAATCTTTTGCTATAAGTCATGAATCATCATTTAAAACTAAATAGTTATAATCATTTAAGAATAAAATTGTCACTAAATTTTCTCCGAAAGATTTCATGCATTGAGTGCCAATGAGACAACTCTCCATCCAAGTAACAATTTATAAAAGTAAACCATTATAGGTCAAGGTACTGCCTTCAACACGGAGCATTGGCTCACACCGAACAGCAAGCTATAAAGGGCCCCAAAAAATTACTAGTGTAAAACCATTCAAACGGGAAAACCAACGGTCTAATCTATATAAAAACGAGAAACAAGAAACACGTATGAACTACATAAACAGACGACAACCCATGTACATCAGATTCCTGACTTAGGACAGGTGCAAACATTTGCAGCGGGATTAAACGTTTTAATGGTACCAAAACTTCTCCCTTTTCTGAAACAATAGTATAACATCACAACATAGAAAGACACACTATAAAATATCAATTGGAAGGCTTAACTCAATCAAAAAACGTAAATTAACACACAATGAACGAATAAATGTGATCTGTGATACCTGAATGCAAATACATAGTTAACAAAAATTATAAGGGATAAATAATTAAGGTCAAAAGTAAATAAACAAAGTTAAAGTATGATACCACTGTGAAATGTTAAACAATATTTAGAAAATCATCACTTTTGAAAAAACCTGCGTCATATTATACACAGGTAAATGAAAATAATTTTGTTGTTAAGTATACTTCTTTTTCTAATTTTATTTTACATTTAGCAGACAAGTACAAGTTGATTCGAAAGACTGTGTCATGACTAAACAATTGCGGAGATTGTTTAAACACTCTTTTTTTTTAGTTAGGCTAAATTCCTTTGTAGAAGCTAAGCGGAACTTAACCTTTTTTCGCGTATATTTCAATATCTCAACATCTCGGGTAACTTTTTCCGTTTGCGCATCCAGATAGTACCACCGTTTCTTATAACTATTTTCTTGATTTATGACAGTATGTTCACATTCTATGACAACCACTAGCTCGTGGTTTAAGTTCAATACCGTTTCAACTCAACTCTTTTTCTAACCGTTAGCACACACATCGCATTTTCTTTGAAAAATTATGTTAAGCGTGATAGAACAGTTTAGTGTTGTTATTGATTTACTCAGTCGGTTGTCCATTGAATTAATACAAACTTTCCATGAAGGGTTGAGACATAAAAAAGAATGAACAATTTTAGTGTGAATGCGCCATGAAATACAAATGAGATTTTTTTTAACATTCTACTGCAAAGTTTTCGGCATCTAGAGGTGCAAAAGATAAATTTTATATGCGGATATGATTGACGGATTTGCTTGGCGTTCGAGTGACAAATAGTTCATGCATATTCGGAACGAGACCAAATCAACAATAATTCAATAAGTGGAACGACTAGGAAAAACACGATGAATAACAGAAATTTCAAATGCAACTCAAAAATTAATTTCATGCCATCAAAACCCTGAAAGAGTTGTTGCAAGGGTATGCTAACGTACAGGAGATGTGGCACATCTCATGTTGATCGGACGTTGCTGCGTTTTTATACATTCAGCACAATAAAGCGAATACCCATTTACTGCCAGATGGAAGAAGTTCATAGATTGCCATATATGTTACTTCATTGCTTGGAATAACTTTTATACTGGATATGAAAAATTAACTAGCCACACACTGGCACAAAAGTCTTGTCCATGCAAAATCAGGATTTATAGAATATTTGTCATACAATAATGGAATTTTCCAATGTACTTTAAATCAATAGCTTTAAACATTTAAATGTAACTAGCTTGGTTAAACAAAGGAACGTGTCGGTGAAAAGAGAACCATAATTATTTCTGATGGAATTGCATGCATATGGTCTTAGTTGAAAGAAAAACGTCAACCTAACATAATAAACATTTGGTCAATAAAAAAAATCAAGCATCATTTCAGTTTCACAGTCCCAACATTTTTGTCGAATTTCAGAGGTTTTTTTAAATATGATTTGTCCGTTCCTAAAGCAAGACATTTGTTTTTACTATGGCCACTTAAAAAAAAGATGGACTTATAAGCCTACATTGTCTTTAAGTTAATAATGGGGAATACGTGTTCAAAGGGAAGAAAAGTCAATATTTACTCCAACAGTAGCTATGTAATACATGTACATTTTATCTCACTTAGGCCTTCTTTATTTTTTCTTTGAAACGATATTGCATAAAGTATAGTAGATTCTAAAAGAGATCTCCATTGTTTATTATCAAAACCAATCTATATTGTCACTGTTTAAATATTGAAATTCTGGACATAATTTCATTATTGTTAGTTATATTGGTTTCTTACATCATCTAGGGACACAAATTCGGCCCTGTTGACTTCAATTTGTTTGGTCAAACTCTTCCTGGTTTCAAAGGTTATTGTAAATTGATTTTCATGGTAAAACCTTTTAAAAAGTTACATACATGTATCTTTTATTTGACACAGTAGATGTTAACCTCCATGCTGCGAGACTTTATGAATTTGGTCGTTGTGTAATAAAGTAACAATCCATTATGTGATTTTTAAGAATTAAAACTTTTCCAAATATGTTACAGTTTCGAGTATTTTTTATTTATTTTCATATTCGTTTTAATTAATCATTTTATAATAATGTTTATTTCTAAAGGAATATATGTAACGGATCTCAACTATGACGAGGTACTAAGTAATTTTTAAACACGGGGCATTTTCCAAAATACATGTAGCTAACTTAGCCAAATCAAAAACTCGTCAAAGATAAAACTCTGAAAGTGTTCAACTTGAAATGATAAGAAAAGTGTGAAAAATTAATAATATATACACGCAAAACTCCCTGTAGAGAACAACCAAAGCTACTTGAATCACACAAATCAAAATAATTGGTATCCCGGGGTGTG